GAGTATCGCGGGTCCCCCTCTTGTATTTCTCATAATAGTCAACTGGAGGTAGGGCCAGTCTCACTTTATTATGATCCCAGGTAGCTTTCTAGAGCAACATTTAGCTCCTGCAGCAGGGAATTTTCCTTTCTAGTACCATCTTTTGCATACTTCCATTTTACAGGACTACCAGAAGCAAAGGGAGAGCAGAGGGACTGACTAGTCTGGGAAACATACAGAATGTAGATGAATGATCCTGTAGGGAGGTGTGATGTGTGAATATGTGAACAAAACCCCTTTTAGAGCAAGGAGCCAAGTTTTGAATGGAAGTTAGCTGGTGACTGCAACAAGAGAAGCTGATAAAGTTGGGCAAGTCACAGAATGAGGGTCAGTACTTGGGGAGTGGCCAATGATTTCAGGATTCCATAATGTTTGTCATTTCAGTGTTCTACTGAAAGTGGCAAGATGTTTAAGACTGACCCTAATATTAAATACTTGATACAGATACACACAGGATTATGGATTTAAAGGGGTATGTTTTGAAAAACATTTGAAAACTGTCAAGCTAGGGAGGAAATTGGAAGATGAATTCATCCTTCAAATGGGGTAAGTTCCATCAGTTTCACATGCAGTGTCACCTCGAGTTTGGATTAGTGTGATGCTCTCTACATGGGGCTGCCCTTGTCCCAAATCTGGAAGCTGCAGCTGGTGCAGAATGCAGTGGCAAGGCTGTTGCTGTGTCTTCCTGTGCGGGAACACATCCAGCCCGCCCTAAAAGCACTGCACTGGCTGCCTATAGCATACTGGATACAGTTCAAGGTGCTGGTTCTTACCTTTAAAGCCCAATATGGTTGGGGACCTACTTATCTAAGGAACCACCTTTCCCCACATGTGCCTCAGAGAGCATTAAGATCTGGATCCTAAAGTCACCTGGCCCTTCTGGGCCTGAAAGAGACCAGGTTGGCTACATCAAGGGCCAGGTCCTTTTCAGTGGCAGCCCCGTACTGGTGGAATGAGCTCCCAGACAACATCAGGGCCCTGCGGGACCTTTTGCAGTTCCACAGGGCCTGTAAAATGGAGCTCTTCCGCCAGGCTTTCAAGTAGGGGCCGCCTTGACATCATGGCCTTGGCCCTAACATCGACATCACCACCAACCTGGCCTTAACAGCAACGTCACCACCAGCCGGATGATTAACAGCCTGGCAGGAGCCTAGAGGCGGCCACTCAAACGATAATAGAATGACGGCATCTTGTGCTTGTACTGTGGTTATGGGTTTTATATTGTAATCTTAATTTTAATATTATTTTATTATATATATACTAGAAATAATGCCCGTTGCGGAAATAAATACAACGGGATC